TCCCGTACAGGCCTGATTTTTTTCAGGTCTGATTTTCGCTATTGCTTAAATAGCGCTATCTACTGCGAGGATCGTGCATCATACGTATCTAATACCGCAGTTCAAAATATATGAACTTCATATATTTCATTGTATCTGATTTATCACTTTCACGGGTTTATTACGAATCAACTTAACGGCCTGCTCCCAGTTGGCTTGTTAGCTCAATTGGTAGAGCGCTGCACTAGTATCGCAGAGGTCAGTGGTTCGAATCCCGTACAGGCCTGATTTTTTTCAGGTCTGATTTTCGCTATTGCTTAAATAGCGCTATCTACTGCGAGGATCGTGCATCATACGTATCTAATACCGCAGTTCAAAATATATGAACTTCATATATTTCATTGTATCTGATTACCAACTAATTTCAAAACTCTTATCTTCGCAGTATCTACTAAAACGTCAGTGATTCCACGCAGTGTCTTTTCTTGACCAGAATCTTTGTTCTTCCATCATTCTGACATTTCTAATCCTGAAATAGAAAATATGACTGTTATCAAGGAATGCTTACTTTCCATGGGTTGGACGAAAACTAAAAATTTAGATTCTGTATAATTACTTTGCTCATTAAGACAATTATAAAAATGGGGAAGGCATCAAAACTTTTCAAAATTCTATTTCCAATGGAGCAATGCAAAGGCCACTGAGTAAAACAATTATCAGACCTCCGCGTGTCTGCATTCAATGACAAAACGAAGTACCCAATACAATTGGCGAGTAGAGCGATTATACCGGGGCGATTAAAAAAAAAAAAAATTAAAATCATAGGTTTTGCTTTTCTCACAGCTAATTAACACCCCAATTCGGTCTAATGTCGTAATGAAGAGCCGCTCAGACCAAGCTATCGATTCGTACTGCGTCGTTGAACTGAGAGAATACGACTCGTTTATGTCTCTGTAGGAGCTTAAGGAGTTATTTTCCAAAGGCAATGCTTACCTGCCGTTGAGTGACATAACGGTGCTTTCGTTTCTCTTCTTTACAGGTCCAGTATCTATCTTCCTGAGAGTGCAACGCTGATGTAAAGCGCAACGGACGATGCGCCTCCATTCAACGACGGATAACGTGGTTTGCTAAAAGTCCGACAACTTCTGATAAATATGGATTGACTGCTGCAGCCAATAATGAGTTGCTGCGTCACAAATTTGGCGCGAAGTTCTGTTTGCATGCCCAGCCAGCTTATTAAGAATCAAGCTTAATGAAATGCAATGTGAGCGATGGATTAACATGGGACAGGAGGAAACAGTTCACAGCTAGCGAATTTCAGGAACTACTAGGTGACCAGTAAAACACTCTGACACTTGAAAAGAGCTAATTTGAAAGATAGATATCATTAAAAGCAGTGGATCTCTGTAAAATGAATAAAAAATAGTTCGAGTCTTATTCTGAAATTCCATGAATAAATAAATAATTGTTTGTTATTCTCTCATGAATGGAGAGTTTGAAAAATAACGCAAAGATGATAATAGCGCACTGTAATTGACTTGACGAAATTATTTTTTTTTTTAAATCTGACCCGTCTATCATTTTAGCTAATAAAACTACAACTTCTAGTTCTCCTGCCTAAAAGTGGCAATTAAAACACTGTAAATATTTACAAGTGTAAATATTGTTATAGCCACACTCGAAAATTGAAAGACAGAAGAAGAGAACCTTACCAAGACTCAGGGTTGTCAATAGAAGCCGGTAGCCGGCGGAAATCCGCCGGTTGTCAGACCATATTGCGCCGGCTACTCGACCCGTTCTTGCTGTAAAGAATTTGAAATACATTTTGTAGAAAATCTTTTTTTCCTTTTCTGAATCAAAATGAATGATATCCCTAACGTGTAGCCTGTTTATCGGTTGACGTTACTAAATATAAACGCATGTATTCTCAACTAATTATTTCTAAAATTTAGCAGACAAAAATACATCAGCGGTGTCACGTTTTCTTTTACGGGAAATTGCGTGACAGAAGCGAGTT